TGCTAAGAAATTTGGGAAAGAACCAGAAAAGTTGTGTGAACCCTTTGAAGTGTCCACTCCAGTTGGAGAATCAGTTATAGCAAGGTGTATCTATAGGGGATGTCCAGTCAAAGTGCATCATCGTCTTACTGCAGCAGACTTAGTAGAATTGGAGATGGTAGACTTCAATGTGATCATGGGCATGGATTGGTTAGAGTCCCGTTATGCCACAGTGGGTTGTAGAACCAAAATAGTAAGTTTTGAATTTCCCGGTGAACCAGTCTTAGAATAGAATGGTGATGCAGTAACACCTAGGGGTAGGTTTATTTCCTATCTTAAAGCCAGAAAGATGATCTCCAAGGGATATATCTATCACCTAGTTCGAGTTAAGGATGCAGATGCTCAGATCCCCACTCTCCAGTCGGTACCAATTGTAAATGAGTTTCCAAAAGTGTTTCCCGAAGATCTCCCTGGAATCCCCCCGATAGAGAGATTGACTTTGGAATTGATCTACTTCCAGGCACTAAGCCGATATCTATTCCGCCTTATAGAATGGCTCCAGCAGAGTTGAAAGAGTTAAAAGTCCAGTTGAAAGATCTTCTAGATAAGGGATTTATAAGGCCAAGTGTCTCACCTTGGGGCGCACCGGTCTTGTTTGTCCGAAAGAAGGATGGGTCTTTGCGTATGTGCATTGACTATCGTCAGTTGAATAAAGTCACCATCAAGAACAAGTACACTCTTCCCAGAATAGATGATTTATTTGATCAACTTCAGGGTGCCCAGTGTTATTCCAAGATTGACCTCAGATCGGGATACCATCAGTTGAAGGTTAAGGAAGTTGATACTCCAAAAACAGCTTTTAGGACTTGATATGGGCATTTCGAATTTTTGGTAATGTCATTCGGTTTAACGAATGCACCAGCAGCTTTCATAGACCTTATGAATAGGGTCTTGATTTGTTTGTTATCGTGTTTATAGATGACATCTTGGTTTATTCCCGTAGTGAGACTGACCATGCAGAACATCTCAGAACTGTGTTGCAGGCACTACAGGATCACAAGTTATATGCAAAATTTTCTAAGTGTGAATTCTGGTTGAAATCAGTAGCGTTTTTGGGCTATGTCATCTCAGGGGAAGGCGTGAAGGTGGACTTTCAGAAAATAGAGGCAGTGAAGAATTGGCCTAGACCCACCTCAGTATCCGATATAAGAAGTTTTTTGGGTCTAGCAGGATATTATAGGCGTTTTGTAGAGGGATTTTCTTCTATCTCGTCCCCTTTGACTAGATTAACTCAGAAGAAAGTCAAGTTTCAATGGTCGGACGCGTGCGAGAAAAGTTTTGAGGAGTTAAAGAAGAGATTGACTTCAGCTCCAATCCTGACACTACCGGAAGGAACCGAAGGGTTCGTTGTTTATTGTGATGCTTCAGGGATTGGTCTTGGGTGTGTATTAATGCAGCACGGTAAAGTCATAGCCTACGCGTCGAGACAACTCAAGGCTCACGAGAAGAATTATCCGACTCATGATCTTGAATTAGCAGTTGTGGTGTTTGCGCTTAAGATCTAGCGCCATTATTTGTATGGGGTACATGTTGACATTTTTACAGATCACAAGAGCCTCTAGTACATCTTCAAGCAAAGAGAATTAAATCTACGTCAGAGAAGGTGGCTCGAATTACTTAAAGATTATGATGTTGATATCCTCCATCATCCGGCGAAAGCAAATGTTGTAGCCGATACTCTCAGTCGGCGTTCTATGGGAAGCTTAGCTCATGTTGAGGCAGACAAGCGAACTATGATGAAGGAAGTCCACCGCTTAGCAAATCTAGGAGTCCGACTTTTGGACTCCGAAAATGGTGGCGTTGTTCTCCAGAACAGGGCTGAATCCTCCTTAGTAGCCGAAGTAAAAGAAAAACAGTTCAGTGATCCCTACTTATTGTAGCTGAAGGAAGGAATTCACAAACACAAGACTATGGCTTTTGAACAAGGGGGGATGATGGTACTTTGAGATACAGAGGCAGACTATGCGTTCCAGACGTAGATGAGCTCAGAGAGCGGATTATGTCAGAAGCCCACAATTTCAGGTATTTTATTCACCCAGGTTCCACAAAGATGTATCATGATCTTAGGGAGGTTTATTGGTGGAACGATATGAAAAAGAATATAGCAGATTTCGTGGCTGAGTGTCCAAATTGTCAGTAGGTGAAAGTCGAACACTAGAGACCCGGCGATTTAACTCAGAATATAGAAATTCCCATTTGGAAATGGGAGATGATAAACATGGACTTCATAACAGATCTACCTCGCTCGTTCAGGAAGCATGATTCGATTTGGGTGATTATAGACCGACTTACCAAGTCAACTCACTTCTTGCCAGTGAAGACTGAAGACTACAGATTCGGCCGAGGATTATGCCAAGTTGTATATCAAAGAAATTGTCCGATTGCATGGGACTCCTTTGTCCATTATCTCAGATCGTGGTGCTCAGTTCACAACAAACTTTTGGAAATCCTTTCAGAAGGGATTGGGCACAAAGGTGAACCTCAGCACCGTTTTTCATCCTCAGACAGATGGCCAGGCGGAACACACCATTCAGACTCTTGAGGATATGTTGAGGGCGTGTGTTATTGATTTTAAAGGTAATTGGGACGATCATCTACCTCTCATTGAGTTTGCTTACAATAACAGCTATCACTCTAGTATCAAGATGGCACTGTACGAAGCTCTGTATGGGCGAAGGTGTAGATCACTAATTGGTTGGTTCGAAGTCGGAGAAGCGGAGTTGTTAGGACCCGATTTGGTCTATCAGGCTATGGAGAAAGTCAACTTGATACAAAGGCATTTGAAGACGGCTCAAAGTCGCCAAAAGTCCTATTCGAACGTGCGACGTAGAGACTTAGAGTTCCAAGTTGATGATTGGGTGTTTCTGAAAGTATCGCCCATGAAAGGCGTTATGAGATTTGGGAAGAAGGGGAAGCTTAATCCCCGCTATATTGGTCCATATAGAATCCTGCGAAGGATCGGACAGGTGGCTTGTGAGTTAGAACTGCCTCAAGAACTAGCTGCTGTACACCCGGTGTTTCATGTGTCCATGTTGAAAAAATTCATGGGAGACCCGTCTTTTGTGGTTCCTACAGAGATTATAGGGGTTAAAGATAGCCTGTCTTACGAAGAAATTCCAATGGTTATTCTTAATCGTCAAATCCGCTAGCTCATAACTAAGCAAATTGCTTCAGTAAAAATGCTTTGGAGGAATCAAAAGGTTGAAGAGGATACATGGGAAGCCGAGGAAGACATGAAGTCCAGATATCCTCATCTCTTTGAAGAGCAAAAGGAAAATGTGGAAGGTAATTAACCTTTCCATTCAGGTCTTATATTATAATCTCCATGTATTTCAGTATTTACTCAGCTTAGTATTTAGTGATCACGTGCTCGTTCAGTTTGATATACATGTATTCATGATATTCCAGTAATCTCATACCTCCATCACACCCGTTTAATGTCCATAGATAGATAGTCGTAGTTGCAGCCAGGACCATCATTCGAGGACGAATGATTCCAAGGGGGAAATAATGTAACACCCCGTAAAATTCGGCTTAGGTATGAATGAGTTAAAGGAGTAGTAAAGATATATTTTGAACATGTGAAGTCCCATCGAGATGATTATGGGTGAAAATAGTTGTTTCAAAATCAAGATGGAAAGTGAGGTGCATAAGATTTGATAAAATCGACTAAGTTTGCAGAAGGTCTGTCTTCCAGCAGGGTTTAGTGAAAATGTGTAAGGAATTTGGGAAAATTCAAAGCATGAAAGTTGTAGGCCTTTGAAATAGCTTTCCAACGATAGATTGTGGAGCCCAAACGGAGCTTTGTGCAAAAAGTTATGCCCGTTTTACAGAATGGTGCATAACCACCGCGTGCGGCCGCGTTTTATCGCGACCGCGGTCGTGAGGCAGTGCTCCAGCTATTTACCGCGGTCAGGACCGCGGTCACGCCTACTGGGACGTGGTGGCCTACTTGGGAAGTCGTTTTTTTAGCCTTATTTCGTCCCCCACAGCCCCAAAACATAAAAACTTGCTCTGCAAAGGAAAGCTCTCAAAAACCTAACTCCTTAAGGGTCCCTCCACCACCCAAGGTAAGTTTTAATGGTGATTCTAAGTTAATTTCAATTTCCCAACATCTTATTAACATGGGTAAACCCTCCATATCATTAGATATACGATTGGGACATCATTGCTGAGAGAAGGAAGCCTAGAACTCGAATTCAAAGGGTTTGAACTTCAAAAAGGTAATGTCTTCACCCTCTAATTGATTCTAGCATTGGTTTAATGATTATAAACCCTAGTTCATGAGATATGAGTTGATGGGTTTGATAGAAAAACATGAACGATTATGGGGTTGGGGTGTTGAGTGTTGATTATTGGTTAAGGGTGTTGTTTACCTTATGGGTGATGAAGAATAATGTTGATTATAATCATTTGAGACTTTAGAATTTATCTAGGAACATGAGATTGAGTTGTTG